TGTAGGCCGCACCCCCTAGCGGCAGAAGCTCGTACTACATCCGGTTCGCCCTCTATTGACACAGTCTTGAAACTTTCCGATCGCACCTCGTACAAATTGGATGGATGAGAATTGACGCCCAGTATGACAGGTGCCATTGCCCCCAGACCCAGCCTTTTTTCCCATTGCATACCGAAATCTGCAGTGCCGTATGTTCCAGAGGACCTTTGTCAACGTTTCAGAGGTCCTTGCTGCCTCCATCATCAGGGCGATCCTGCCTAAAGGCCCTCTTACTTAATAGTTGTACTTACCTCCGGCAGGTTGCATGCTTGAGCAGCGTTATCAAGCACCACAGGTAGTTCTTCAAATCTCAATACAGAGGGATCTGGCTGCGGGAGCGTCAAAGCCGATCTCGAACATTTGCTGCACTGCATCCTCGGTCATTCGTGACTTTTCCTCACCACCAAGATTTTCTACCCATTGGCAGAAATTTTTTATGATCTGCAGCACGAGAAGGAATTTTAACCACATTTCGTCTGAACAGAAACACTACTGTCTGGCCAAATTCCCCTTATCTACTATAAAAATTTGTGATTCCTCGTTGTCTTCAAGAAATGACGTCATCAACAATGTCAACAAATATTTATTTACTCGGCATTGTTGTGGAACACAACAATGCCGAGTAAACAAATAACGCTTCACAACAAAGAAATCAAAAAATATCAAGCCAGTCGCATTATCACTGCTCCAGAAGGAGCAGTTCGCATTCTTGAATAATGACTGACAGTTGGCTTAAAACATCAGAAAAGTGAAAGAAGACGTTATCAAGTATTTGAAGTACCAACTCCAACAACTTCAACAAGGTAAACTGATCCTCATTCGATATATTACGATTACGAAAACTATTATGATCGATTTTAAGACGAAGATTTGCAGGGGTGGGGCTGGACGTAAAAAGTTGACTGAACCAGAACTGTTGACCTCTGAACAGCGACGTAAATAACTAAAACATCAGATTACAGGAAGCGCTCCGAAAGGATTAGTCGTCGTTGTCGTCTAAAAATGACGTTATCAACAATATCACCTTGTATTTGTTTATACACGGAATTGTTGCGGAACAACAATGCCGAGTAAACAAATAACGCTTAGTACCAAGCCAGTCGCATTATCACTGTTCTATATCGTCTCCGAACAGCGGCATTAGACTATTTAAGAAATGAAGAAAAGTGAAAGAAGACGTTGCCAACACCAAAAAGGTAATCTGATTCTACTAATAATATTCATCCAAGTCGTACTGCTCATTCAAGGGTTAAAACTAACCCCCCCAAAAGGGAGTTAGTTTAGCGTGTTACTTAAGATTTCAAAACGCAACCAGAAGGAGGGGTTGGTCAATTGTTTTAACCCTCAATTGGGGGGGGAGCTCCGAAAGGAGCGCTCTGCTCTAGTATAATATAAATCCATACAGTATTTCAACAAGTTGGCGTGTAAGTGACGTTTTCTGCGCAGAGGGTGATATTTCGAGTCATGGGCCAGCATAAGGGAATTTGGTGCCCTATGCCTTCAGCATGATAGCAAGCATTTCCTGTATTCAATCTGCATTTAATATTCTCGTGAATTAAATTTTGATTTGTTACCATTGTTTCAAAACATTTTAACTTTGCCATATTCTAAAAAGGTTTTATTAGCCACCGTATATAATAAATTTGTCACGTGGTCTGGTGACAAGACATGGACTTATGTCATAGGTCTACTTTTTTCTGCGTTTATGTCCAAACCAATTTCCTTATTAGCGTTTTATATCTAGACCTTATGTTATTTTCTCTACAATATTTATGTTTTCGTCCAATGAATTTTCATCAGCATATACGAGAAGCTGATGGGTCCCATTCAGTCCCAAGCCCTTTGTTTTCTTGAGAACTCTTGATGGCGTACTAAAATGCAGTATTGAAAAGCAATTGTGTTGAAAGCATCTCCTTTGTTTCAGGCCATTCTGAATAGGAAATGCATCAGGCAAATGCTTACCTAACCTAACTTTAACATAGTTTTCATTTAAGCACATATTAGCCTTACTGTCGTATTTACATCGGAATACTAAATTCAATGAAAATGTTGTTTCTTACTTTCCTCCTAACTAAACCATAAGCTTTCATTACCACTACTCACAGCGTTAGTGACTGCTTTCGCCTTGTAGCTCAGGGTTTTCTTCGGGTCAGTAAGAAGCGGATTAGCAGCGGTAATGGACGATCCAGGTGGCATCATAAATTCATCTTTAGGTCGCCAAGTGGCAGCAAGGTGTTCGGGTTTGTTCAGGAACTTGAGATATGGATTGCTTTCAAAAGTTTGAGACTCGGTATGTCTGAAAAATCATCAATTACCAGATCGGATAAGCGAATGCATTTCTTGGAAGTTTTTCGAATAATTAAACTACACTTTAACAAGGTATACAACTTAATATATATTTTATGGTGATTAACATTTATTCAACGCATTTTATCATAGTTAAGTACTTTGTTAGATATCTCATACCGTATATCAAGCTTCGTCATAATCTGTCATAAAAATAGAAAGATATACGTAGGCCAACACGTTCATTAGGTTTTGCATTTTTGTGGTATGACAGTCCTTGTGATCTGGAGTTTTTTTTCTGTGCTTGTGTTTCATGCTGAGAACACTTACAGAACGGAGAAGTTATAGTTCTATGCTTTGCTAACTTCAGCATTATATGGATGTGTGCAGTCAAGATGATGATATAGGAGCTTTATTCCCCGGGGAAAACAATTAGTACATGTTGAAGAAGATGCTGGGAAGGCCCTAGAATCTATTTGGACACAGCATTGGCAAAGGAAAAAAGCCACCCCCTGCCCGCTCTTATCCAGCTCGTAAGCAGTCACTAAAATAAACTGTAACGAATCAAGACGATTCATTGTAATTTAGTTCAGTTCCCATAATTTATTTACATCCAAAACGGACAGTTAGTTGCCTAGGACGAATGGACATGTCAGAAATATGTATGCCTACCTGCTTGTCGGATAGTTCACACACAGGTCTGAAGACAGGGTGACACTTTGCAGGTCATCTAGCGGCATGTCCGATTCGCTCTCCTCTCCTACTACAAACTCTTCACCGTCCTCAAAATCTGGAGGTCGGTTGCAAGGCGGGTTGTCCAGCTTCAGGATGCGAGCGACGCTCTCGCACATGTCCGAGGGGAGGGATGCGAGGGCAAAAGAAATGCGAATGTCCGAGGCCTGTCAAAGACATAACAGATATCGAAATCCAAAGATACAACTGGACTCTGAAGAGAAATGTGCACATTTCCCAAAAGAGTTTGGCGGATAATAAGTGGGGGTGTTTATGTCAATTTCAGCCTGTTCTCACCTTGCTGGATTTTTCTAATGTTTCTCCCCACCTTTGCTTGAGATCTCCGTCGTTATATTTGGCAGTGGTAACTTTCTTCAGTCTTCCATGATTCATGTTGTGTTGGGGTTTCGCAAAATTATTACTCGCAAAACAATCGTGTTCAGATTGGGTATGATGGTGACCTAACACTGCGTAGCAACGACTTTTAAATCGATTATCTAAACTCGTACGGTTCAGTACGCTGCTGTCATCTATGGAGAGATTGTGTTGAACGATCTCGGAAGGTGTGTACCGTACCGGAATATGCGCAATCTCAGTGTCTACCTCACGAACTTCCACAGCCATCATTTTGTTATCACCGTAAAGTAAAGCAGCCAAGTAGGTCGCTTGGGGAGAGAAGTAGTGTATTATAGCTCCTACTCATTCTTGACCTCGGCACTAGATGTGGGTGAGTGGTCAGCATCTTGCCTCGCCCCGGCCACGCTTTACCCACGGGAAAGGACCCAGGTACCCATTGGATAGGAGGCTGGGTGGGTCCTTAGAGTCAGGTTGGATGCTGAGGCTAGAGGAAAAATTCTCTGCCCCGTCAGGGATGGAACCAGCCCGTAGCTAGCTACTATATTTACTGAGCTATCACAGCTGTTTTTGTTATCACCTCTCATAGGATATTCAAAAGTACTCTTCTCGGGTCGCCTGGTTGATGCTAGAGTGCACAATTATGCTGACTCATAGACAAACTGATCTGTGCTACCTTACCAACTCGAAGAAGCAGTGTCCTTGAGAAGCTTGTAGTCACTCAGCTGGCCTGAAAGTTCATGAAATTGTCACTGGAACTTGCTAAAATCCTGTCCTGAGTCAGCTGAATCGAGTACATATCTTCACATCCTATTTGCTTCAGATCAAATTTAATATGTTCCTCCTACCTATGACTAGGCCTCCCAAGTAGTCCCTTTACTTCAGGTTTTCAGACTGAAGTTTTTATGTTAATTTCTCAGCTTTCACCGTGTAACTTTTCCATTAATTTTTTTTTTGTTACTTAATATCCCAGAAGCGCTGGCTAGACTGCCCAACCCTTCACAAGGAACTTGAATTAATTGAGGTTGCGTGGGAGAGAATGCAATTCAAATTTTAGAAGCATATCTTAATTCCAGTAAAGAAAGGTGACGTGGCAGAAATTTACTACTGTATAAAACAGTTTATTCTTCAAATGTAAGTAACACTTGTATTACATAATTGGCATATATAACTAACTAGATGGCTTATGGAATTTGAAGTTTCATCATTGAATTAACCAAAGCCTTCCACTGGACCCTATCCTGGGCAAACAAAATCCAGTCTCCTTCAACTCCCATCTCCCATAGATCCCGCCTTACATTATCCTCCCATCTACGTCTAGGTCTCACCAGCGGTCTCTTCCTCTCAGGTTTCCCAACCAATACTTGGTGCACACCTCTTGCTCCATCCATATGCACCACATGCTCCACCTATCTCATTCTTCTCGACTTAATCTCCCTGACAATGCTGGGGGAGGAGTACAAATTTTTAAATAGTTAGTCTATACAAAGAAAATGGTAATTAGTATGTATAAAAACCATAATTGACAAAATGGTCCTTACTTCCACTTTAGTATCTCTTTATACTGTTTTCATTGCAGTGCACTCTTTTTTGTAATTTTTTCATGATTTTTAAATAATAGTACATGTGCAAAACTAGTTACATGTTTAGTAATGTCTGAACAAGAATATAATTATGTTTGCTTTATATTTCTAACATTTAGTTGTCATTCTATGTAGCCTGTCATCCATATCTATAACCAGTTTGCTATAATCCTTCCACCTCTTTGACCTTCTGAGTAGCTACGTATCCAGAGTAGTACATATACATACATACATATTTTATTACATACCATGGATCCATAAGACAGTCAGATGACAATAGGATGTGGAAAAAGTCATAATAATAATACAATACATATTATAAAGTACAATTCATACTATTATATAAATTTCACATAATACAAAACAAAGGGTTCACCTAAAGAAATGATAATCTACAAATAGATCTACCCATTACACACAGGAAAATTTATCACTTATTTGTAAACAACATAAATTCATTAACAGAGTAAAAGGAGTGTGTAATTAAGTATCTTTTTAATGCTACCTTAAATTACTCCTTCTTACAAGACTTGTGAATAGTAATTTTAGAAGTAGTAACTTCAATATGTACTTGAATGAAATACTACTCAAATTGAACATGGAGGAGTATAAATGTCGAGAAACAATTGTTTAAACATACTTCTCTTTGCAGATGAACACATAATAATAAAAAATCCAGGATATGAATTATATAAATCAGATCATAATCTGAACACATTAATATGCAATTACAGAATGACAATTTAAACAAAAAACATAGTGTGTGCAAGAACCCATAAAAAGTAAAACAGTGACAAAATGTAAAATAATACATTTGTACTTTCAATTACCTTTCATGCTGCATGTCATATTAAGGTAAGAAATAAACAAATGTAAAAATGTCTATCATTTTAAAAGTTAAAGGTCTTATCTCCACAATTTTTAAACCACCAAAGTCCAAAAACATGCTATAATAAAAATTTACAATATCTTACCAAACTAGATTTACAGCTGCTTATATTAAATTTATGATAACAGCAGACTACACTTGAATGTCATATTAAGAGAACTGAAAACAACCCATAATGGACAAATGTTTAAAATATAAAACAAATTTGATTCAGCATGTTGCTGCAAAGGGGCATATCAGGTATTATTAATTACAAACCACATTCATAGAGAAACTTTGGAGAAATTAAAGACTTATTGGCTATTAAGACACCAAGTGGCAAGTTTGAAAATTTTGTGGATGATGTAGGGTGTAGAGATGGGCAAGTAGCATGAACAGCACTGTTATTGCCATTTATAGATACAGTGGGCAGTAACAGATATTTCAAGTCGATCCGATTTTGACTTCGGTTTTAAAAAGAATTGTAATTATAGGCATGTATAAGATGAGTATACGAAACAGTCATAAGAGTGCCTAAGGATATGTCTATGACCTGAAGAACTTCTCCAGCCTATAAGAATATGATATTGCCATTTCGTCTCACAGGAGACAAAAAACACCCAAATTATAACCCATCTCTTGTAACTTACAGGTAAATCAAGGGACTTTTACATGCTGATAGGAGCATTAAAATGTTTTTATGTGCGGGGTCTGCCCACAACTTCTGTCGATTTTTGGACAGGGACCGTGAACACGTATACGTTTACTTATCCCTATTAAAGGGCCAGTTTATAGCAAATTCCTCCGCCGAAGAAACATGTAGTCCTAATATGAATGTCGTGGTCCCAAATTATAAATAACACATATACTTTATGTTATAAATTGTGACTTTATAACCTCCAAATTAAGGAAAGAGGATACATTCCAGTATGTGAATGCTCATAATGTCTATTTTTCAGATCAGCTGATATCCCAGTATTGTGTGATGCGGTCAGCTGCCATGATTGATTTCAAGCGTCTTTGAGGAAGAGAGCTGCAGTAAAGATTTTCTTATAATGTTTGAGATATATAACTTTTACATCTATTATATGGAGAGCTGATTATAGTGTAATTTTCATAGAGCCATCTACATTACATTTTAGGTAAGATAGATGTCCCAGACGGTTGATATTTCGTGTGGGGCGTGTTGGGAAGTTGTAGTTGGAACCATGTAGCCATTGAACTCTGCGAACTTTTTTCCCTTCATTTGACATTTTTGCGTTGTTCGATGCAAGAAACACGAATTAAGAGGAAGTTAAAACTCTGTATTTACATTTAGTGGAACATATCATCGTAGTGTGAATCATCCAGTCCATAAGTTTCTTTTGTTGTGTGGGAGTGTCCAAAGGGGGGGCGAGGTAAAATTGTTGGAACTGAACAATCGACGGAGGCAAAAAAGAGAAAGAAAATATGTTTCTGACTGAATTGGCATAAAAGTTTCTGGTAAGTTACATGTAGGATGTATTTAGAAACAGTTGTGAACGGAAAGGGAGCATGCAAAAATTTAACAAGTTCATTTTTGTAACTTAAGAAATCTAAGTTCGAAACGTAGTATACAACGATCAGCCTTGTTAGAAATTGACAGGCCACCGTGGTCCGTTCAGCCACCTCGATTTTACTCGTAAAAATCTAGTTTTGACACCATCATTTCATATAGGTTAGGAAGTGATGATACTGATTATTATATTGAAAGCTGCCATTTATAGTATTTGGTATTTGAATATCTGACTATGATGACAAGGTTGTATAATTTTTTTCGCCATACAGTGATTCATGATGGTGGTGGATTCTGCGCCCCGTCATTCATTTCACAAGATGCAACCGACGGGGATGACACCTAAGGAACTGTCGGAAAATGATGACTTGGCTACGTCACTGGTCCTAGATCCCCATTTAGGATTTGTCACTCATAAAATGAATGTTAGGTAGGTATACATTGATGAGAAGTTCATCCAGCTAGCCATTTGCTGTGGATGCAAGAGATTTGACAGATAAATCTGCAGTATAAGGTTTTTTCCCTAGGCTAAGTTTCTTAAGTAAGTGACTGATGGCTGAATAAAGTTCCACACTACATGGTCTTGAAAATAAGTGACTTCTGCAGGCCATCATGTGAGTGGAAAGTATCATAACTGCCTACTTTGGTTGAGGTTAAGATTTATTTTTCATTCCTCTATTTCTTCTCACAAGCACACACATGTGCATTTCAGTGGAACATATTCCCACTGTATTTAATTGAGATATAAATAGTCATACACAAGTGATGTGTGATGGGCAGTTGAAACTTGGTATTTATAAAAAATTGGGATACTTGGAACTGCACATCATTTGTAATTAAAGAGATGAGTCAGGATACATAAAACATTGAAGATGGTGTGTGAGTTTCACATGCCTGCTCTAGGGTAATGTAGGATTGGAATTTATCTTGCCTCTACTGAATCAGAATAGTAATTATATGCAAATGATTTCCCCTCTGTGGCCCTACTAAATCACAGCATTGATTACATATGTGGAAAAATCACTGTGTAAGAACTTGCTACTGTTTTATGGCTTTTTGATGTTGGTGACTCATCATTGCCATAAGGTGAATTTTTTGACGTAAATACGTCTATATTTTAGGGTCAGTGTCATTCGGCAAAAATGTGTAACGAAAAAGTGTAACTTCATTGTTATGTTACCTAGGAAATGTCATCTGTTTATCAACAAATAAACAATAATGGTTACCTACATAGTTACCTTATCTTACCTTACATTACCTTACCTTACCTTACCTTACATTACATTACCTTACCTTACCTTACATTACATTACCTTACCTTACCTTACATTACATTACCTTACCTTACCTTACATTACATTCAGCTTCCACAGACCCATCTTAAGCGTAACTAATTCAGGTTAAATAAGCAATGTCTTAATCAAACGTATCTCAAATATAAAGCATGTATGAAGGAAATATTTAGAATAAAGCCAATATATAAACTTCCGTATAGACGTATTTACGTCAAATTCTCCGGAACCATGGTTCCACTGACAACTTTTTGTTTGCACAACTTTAATTGGTTACAGTGAGTCTAGTTTTCCAGCATAATTGAAATTGTTACCATGAAAATAATGAACTGCTGCTTTTGTCATGAGATATGTGAATTATGGAATAATGTCCTGTATTGTATATGTGAAGGGATACCAGCCCTGTATATTTAACCTCAAAGTTAAGCTAACCTAACAAGAAAGATCACTGTCAGATCTAAAACTGCCTTCAAATATGACATGGTCAGGGGCCCACACTGTATTTTGTACTTTAGATATGAGGAACTAATTGGAAAATGTATAGTAAGTCTTCACAGAATTTAATTTTTTGGGGGGTTATTTTTGTGTTAAAAAGAAGAGTGGTTGTTATCCTTATGTAATTTGAAATTTTGGGTTTTGAAAGGTGAGGAGTATTTGTGTGAAAAGTTTTTATATGTTATTAAATTCCAATTGCTTTTAAGTTATTATGTGTACTGGACTGAGAAGCTGCATGTATGATCGGAAAACAGCTGGTTTGTTTAACTATGTAATATGTCTTATTGTATCGCTATGGGGCATCTTGCATTATGAATAATTGTTTTGTTGTGGGCTGTTACTTTACCAGATAAGAGTTACAGATGTTAAGATGGATCTGGTTGTGATGCATGGTGCAAGGAAGTGTCACCCTTCTTGAAGAAAGCGTCAAGATTGCCCTACATAAATATTTTCTATCAGAGAAATGTAATGGATAAGTTGATACAAGAAGAAAAAACGTTATAACATACCAACTTTGTAGACAGCAGTATCAAATGGGGTATTTATGTAATTGAGTTTAGCTGTGTAATTATAAGATGATATTCTATATAGTTTATGAGAACAAATATGAACTTCCTCTTTTTACATGCCTCATTATGCTCAACAATTGCTTACTGTCCTATACTGACCACATTAACTAAGTGACACAGTTGCAGTTATTCTGGGTTACAGGATAAAGGAAACCCTTCTGAATCATGTAATGCTGCAAACTGTGTGCTGCTAAACATAGCTAGGCCAGCATACAAACAGGCCTGTCTGTGAGCATTTGGGGGTAGGGGATGTCTGTCTGATAAGATTTTGTGGTGAATCCTGCACATTCATGGAATGATGCTGTTTTTGCTAACATTGCTAAGTGATGCTACAAGAGCAATGTTCCCTGCCTAGGTATATTTTTACCAGTTGCTTGTGTAATTGACATAGTTGCACTACTTTGAAAGATGTCTTTAGATGCACTAGCAAAATTGAAATGGATGTGTTTTCTTGGGTTTGGAATTAATTTTCATAGGGCTCTAGAAATGTACCTACTCACTTGACCTGCAGGTGAGTTAATGAACACATATAGTAAGTACATTCTTAACCTCAGTGTAAAGGAATAGGCAGCTGGATTTCTAAGTGCCTGGCAGATTTAAATAATATTTTTGGAGGCATATAGTTCTCCAACAAATCTGAATTGATTGTAATTGGTTTAATCCAGTCTATTATAAATTTGTGTTTAATTAAGTAAACACAAATGAGGCATGAATTGTGACTGTGAAGTTCTGAGAGGAAATAATTTGAGTATCTTTTAAAGAAGTTTAGATAGGCCTATGTTTGGTCACTGAATTTAAAGATCTTATTTTGTATGGTTATTTTAATTGCTTTGGGCAGAAACAAATATTACAAAAAGAACAACACAGAAGTTATATTAGATTCTAGTAATGAAAATGATCTAGAAGTAGACATGTAGGAAACTAAGTAGGACCATTATTTGTACTGGATTATCAAATCAAGAAGTATGACATTGGTAGGAATGTACCATGCATGAGATGAGAAATGCATGCAAAATTTTTGTTGAAATCCAAAGGTGTAGATCGAGGAGGGTGGACAGGACATGTGGCATGCATGGAGGAAATTATAAATACGTGCAACATTGACACCGCTGAGAATATCTGGCTGTAGCTGGAAGGACAATATTGAAATCTGTTTTAGTGAAATGGAGTGGAGGGTGTGGCCTTAATTCATCTGCCTCAAGATAGAAACATTGTGGGCTCTTGTAAACATAATAATGAACAATGATAAAATCCTCTGGGTGACCAGCCATGTTAATTTGGAACAGAGGTTTAACATTCAGAGACTGTCACCATAATCAGGGAATGATGTCATATATGATAATGAACCTTTGTTATCCATGAAATATGGGGGAATTTACTTGATTGGCTATCATTTTCTCAAAGACTCTGCTCCATGGAGTTAATTATTTTCATTATTTTACTTTCTTGACTAGTTCTTCTTCATAAGTACTGTCATATTTATGCTGTAGGAATCAGACACCTTGGAGCAGAGGTTAGCACTCCTATTTCTTATTTGAGAGGTTCCATTGTTTTCCTCGGTTCCTTCATTCAAATTATGGCCATGGCCTTGGCCTTATCCACTTCCTTAGGAATTCATTCAGTCATCTTGCCTTTTCTCATAAATGTTATATAACTGCTTGCAGTCCATTTTCCTCTAGTGTGCATCATTTGTCAAATCCTTCTCCATTTGTCTCTGTTTTCCTATGAGCAGTCTTGTATCTGAATGTCCAATGTTCCCACACTTTGCTATGTATGTCTTTCTTCACTTGATCTGTAGTGGTCATCAAATAAATGGAATTGAGGTGATTCTTTGATAATTCATTACTTCAGAAAGGAAGTTGTAGTGTAGCATGAACACTAAAAGAACAAAAATATTAACACACAACATACAGACATTGGTCTGGATGGAGTGAGTTATGATATTGTGATTGCACAATCATGGTTGAATTTACTCCTAGAAATTAAAATCTTTATTCTCATATAATATTTCTGAACCCTATCAAAGTTATGTCATCATCATCACGGGGTCTACAGCCTGTTAACAGGCCTTGACCGCCCCAGTTATGTCATGTAACCTGACATTTAATTGAAGACTAATTAAAATGTATTGTCAGCTAAACCTGTACCACCCATTTCTTGAGCCTCAGAATTTGAATTGCAGGCAGAAGCTTAATCCACTTAATAGCCTGAGGATGTGACTATTTGTACATTGAATACTGTTTTGTTTGAGCAGGTATCGACCACTGAAAGCAAACAAGGAAGAGCTCAAATCTATAATAGAAGAGTTTATAGTAACACAAGACTATGACAAGGCTTACAATCATCTGATAAGTGGAGAATGGATACCACGGGGACCGCATACCAAAACAAAACAGCAACAGCAACGTTTAGGAGAGCATGTATGTTGAGTCAGTTCTGTAGGGTTTTGACAGCCCAAAAATCCAGTAATACTGATTAAAGTATATTGAACTTTCTTCATCACAGAAGTGTTTGATATGTTGCATGGGTAACATTTTTATTAGCCTTGGGTCAGATCTAGTTATATAATCATGACCATGGACCATGATATTGCATATCAAGTAAGTTATTACCAATAGTTGGGAAAATGAAGTCTGAAATCAAGCCTAGTATAATGATTAACTAAAAATATTAATAATTGCTAAAGCAAATTATAGCATAGTAATGCTGTACTTTGTCCTCTGTGGGTTAACCATGGGCCATAACAGTAATCATATAGGTAATTTCTAAAATTAGCTTGATTGTCAGCATATCAGTTTTCCATAAATATCAGATGCAATTAAAAAATACTTGTAACTGTTTGGGACTCTGAGCAGTTTTGTACAGTTTGCTGCATAGTACACAAAATCATGTAAGAAAGCGTAACTTTTTTACCCTGTCGTAATGACTGCAAACTGTTTTAACATTGCAGATCTACAGGTATCTTCGTGTGTTTGATCGAGACTCAGGATTCATCATAGAACCCTGTTATCGATATTCCCTTGAGGGGCAGAAAGGTGCAAAGATCTCTGCTACCAGAAAATGGTGAGTAAATTTTCATGTAGACCTATCATAATATCCTTGCTTGCCTGTTACAGCTAGAACCTCTGTTATGTACATTGCAGGGCTAAGGGACTCTTGGAGGAGGTGGAGAAGAAGATTATCACTGCATTGTTGGTGTTGGTCTTTTGGTTTGTAACACTGTGTGAACCTGTAGGTAGGTACATTGTCTCAGAGGAACAAAGTGCCTCCATTTTTAGTGTTGACCACACAAGAAAACCGAAATCTGTGACTAAATTAACAGCATGGCAGAGAGTCCATGAAAAGCTGATAGTCTCTCAACAAGTCAAATTCCTTGCTGTTTCAGAGTCCAGGTGTTCAAAGATCTGTTTCAGTATTATTTTTCCACCTGTGAATAAGTGTTTTGAAGAAAAATTATATGTTCTTGTATTGGTTGCACCTGTATTTTCAGATTGAAAATTTGAAATGGAAAATGCAGCCTGTATGCGAATAAATGGTGTTTGGATGGTTTTTGTAGACCTATAAATGTGGCATGGGCCTGCAGGTACTCACTCATGCTTCTTGATGACATTGTTTTTACAGCATCTTTTTTATGTATAGGTATAAGAACGAGAAAATATCATGTCTGGTGGGTTGCATCGCAGAGCTTAGTGAGGAGGAGGAGACCATGCTGTTGCATCCTGGGAAAAATGACTTCTCTGTGATGTATAGTTGTCGCAAGAACTGTGCACAGCTGTGGCTAGGTCCAGCTGCTTTCATCAACCATGACTGCAGGGCCAATTGCAAGGTAGTGTTATTCTAATGAAACAGTTTTTAAATCTGTGATCTCTATCCCTTTATTCTGTCTTCAAGTACATATTCATATGACTTTCTACACTATTAGCGTCAAGTATGGGGTGGTCACAAATAAAGTCTGCAAGAGATATATCTTGAAGTTACTCAGTCTTTAATCTGATTAGTACAATTTCATTATATGGTGTATGCAGTTCCCTTGTAGAATGAGTAACTGATCATACTTTGTTGGGTTTTTCTGTTCTTTGCCCTCGGAAGTCAGTGTCCTGTGTTTTTGACCATTCTCTTACATCCGTTTTTGTTTCCCAGATATTTCTTCATTGCTGGAGATAGATGAAGTAATGTCTAGAGGCTACAATTTAACAACCTGGTAATTACTTAGGAATGGCAGTCAAAATAATAGTTGAAATAACAGGACACTTAGTTACATGTATAATAATTTATACATCATGCAATGATGATGTATTATAAATATTGATACAGTGGGTCTTTTGGCACATGGGTACATGGAACAAAGAGAACATTATGATAAAAATCAGTAGTGCTGCCAACCTCATCACAAGTTAGCCGTGCATCTCAATTTTAGGTCAAAGTTTTGTGGAAAATACATTGATTTTCCTTTTGCCACAATGCATTGTACATTGCTGACTGTTCTTTTGGATATCAGTATTCAATATTTTAATTTCTTAGAATTCTTGTATGGTCCTTGGGTATGTACAGTGAAACCTCTATCCATCGTTCCCGGAACTATCGTTTTCCCGGATGCATCGTCCGTTTTGTCCGGTCCCAGATACATCCCATATAAAATAATGTTACATTTTCCCGCTTCTATCGTTCCTCGAACTATCGTTTTATCGCATCGATCATTCAAAAATCTTAGTCCCGGCCCACAATTTTCCCGCAATGATCGTTTCTGAGAATTTAAAATGCTGGGTTTTGAGATAAATTAATACCGAAAGACGCATAATGTTTTTGGAATACACAGTAGCGGTAACCTGTTATGTCGCCCAACCAGCACATTCTTTTGGAATGAGGGTCAGCGGTGCAGGGGTGATAGTTGGAGTGAATGGCGGTGCTTATTGTCAGAAATTTTACGATTTTAATTAGGGTGCACTCATATTTCGTTCCAGCGATGCCAGATGGCATGTGCAGTGTGAATTTCTTCACAAATGCTTTTATTATAAGTACAAAGGAAAGGCGAGCGAAACTTTTTCATTCTTCTGGTTCATATCGTGTCTTCTACAGCTACGTTTCGTTGAGTTCGGCAGTAATAGTATTTCCATTCTTCCTGTTATTGTCCGCAAAGGGGGTTGGAGTGGTGAGGAAGAGGGAGACGACGAATGCGAGCCCGAAGCTTTGCCGAGTTTTGCCGAAGCACACGCTGCATTGGCGAAAGTGAAGTTGTTCTTTTATGCGCTTAATATTAGTGAACGTGACGAGGAAAACATTTTGAACGTGGAAAGTGCTCGGTTTGGTCTAAAACGTAAAGTTTCGACAAACCAGTTGTCCATTAAAGACTTTTTTGGTAAAAAGAAGTAACTTTGAAAGAGAAACATTGTTTTTTTTTAAATTTTTAATGCTTTCCCGCATCTATCGTTTTCCCGCATTCATCGTTTTTATTTCCCACCCCCGCCGAAAACGATGCATCGAGGTTTCACTGTAATTGCTACTCACACTGTTGATGCAGCCATTTTTGGTATCATTATAAAGTTGTCCTCGTCCTTAATTAGGAACCACTTCATGAAGATCAGTGGTGGAATGTGGAAATAGAGCTTCACACATTTTTATTCTCAAGAGAAGTCTGGGAAGACCGTTAAAAAGATGGAATGAAACCTTTACAGGCCACTTGGCTTAATACTTGATGAATATGATGATGATAGATAGATGAAGAGGAGTGTTTAGCTTCACGCTGTAGCTGCCAAACCCCAGAGAAAGAGTGCATAGTATTAAATGGATAAGACTGAATTAGCTTCAGATGTCAGTCTGGGTGTTGTGGTAAAGGAAAAATCTCTGTCCATCATGAATTGAACCATGACCTTTGTTTGTAGTGAGGTCTAATTAGGAAGTTGTGGATAGTTGAAACATTGTGTTTCAGTTTGTGGCAACTGGGCGGGACACTGCGTGCGTGAAGGTGTTGAGAGACATTGAGGTGGGAGAAGAGATCACCTGCTTCTATGGAGAGGATTTCTTTGGTGATGGCAATGGTTATTGTGAATGTGAAACATGTGAAAGGTAAGCATATATTTACTATCTTCATATTACAGTGATCTTTTTAGTTGCATTTGCAAGTAAAAGTTGAACTTACTAACTTCATCCTGTCTGTCCTTATGAGAGTCACCAAATGACTTTTCAGAGCACTTGATACTACAAAAATTTGTTGACATATTTGAATTTTTACTAAAATTGGTAAGTAGTAATGAGTACTTTATATAAAGACTTGACAAGCATTTCTGCCTTGAAACCATTTGGGAATCCTGTGATGATGTCACCCAACCAGGTACTCCACCCACCCAAGGGTCATTGACCTTAAAAAACTCTGACATCATTCACATTGGTCAGATCTTTTCGTTTTGTTTTGGTGGTACTAACAGCCTATCTGAACAACTTAGGATGCATATATGAGAGCATTCACAAACTGAAATTGTAATGACATGAATAAATGAGCCTGATTCGTTATACTATATGAATATTTCATATCTAGTTTCTCTAGTCCTATGCATGCGGAGTATTCTGTACTGAATATATTCATTGTAAATGGAAAATTGTATGTTGAGAACATGGATATTTTTGAAGTGCAGTAGCTATTTTGCTTACCATGTTGGCCTTGATATTTACTTTGTGCACTTACAGAACTGTTGTGACACTAATCATACTGTAGGCATCACACTGCAAGGTTAGAAATAAATTTTCGTTGTTGTTTGTTAAGTTTTCAGTGACATACCAATCTCTTTCTTATTATTGCTGTCATGAGCCATTTTTTGAGAAATTTTATAAACTAGAGCAACGCGCTCCTTCCGGAGCACTTTCTCTAATCTGATTTTTTACTTCTTTATGTCGCTGTTCAGAGGCCAACTGTTCTTGGTCAGTCAGCTTTCTACGTCCAACCCCACCCTTACAAATCTTTGGATGCTTTTTTTCCCTTCTGTTCTCTAGGTCTGATGTTTTAGTTTTTTACGTTGTTCAGAGGCCAACTGTTCTTGGTCAGTCAGCTTTCTACGTCCAACCCCACCCTTACAAATCTTTGGATGCTTTTTTTCCCTTCTGTTCTCTAGGTCTGATGTTTTAGTTTTTTACGTTGTTCAGAGGCCAACTGTTCTTGGTCAGTCAGCTTTCTACGTCCAACCCCACCCTTACAAATCTTTGGATGCTTTTTTTCCCTTCTGTTCTCTAGGTCTGATGTTTTAGTTTTTTACGTTGTTCAGAGGCCAACTGTTCTTGGTCAGTCAGCTTTCTACGTCCAACCCCACCCTTACAAATCTTTGGATGCTTTTTTTCCCTTCTGTTTTTGTTGAATACGTTTTTCTACTTTTATCAATGTAAGTCTTACTTCGCTTTCCTTTATTTGTTAAGTAGGTCTGATGTTTAAGTTTTTACGTCGCTATTCAGAGGCCAATTATTTTTGATCAGTCAACTTTCTATGTCCAACCCCACCCTTACAAATCTTTGGATGCTTTTTTTCCCTTCTGTTCTCTAGGTCTGATGTTTTAGTTTTTTACGTTGTTCAGAGGCCAACTGTTCTTGGTTAGTCAACTATCTACGTACAACCCCATCCTTGCAAGTCTTCGTTTGTTTTCTTCTGCTCTTCTGTTCTTGTTGAATACGTTTATCAATGTAAATTTCCCTTCGCTTTTCTTTATTTGTTAGATAGGTCAGATGTTTAAGTTTTTATGTCACTATTCAGAGGCCAATTGTTCTTGGTCAGTCAACTTTCTACGTCCAACCCCACCCTTACAAATCTTCGTATGCTTTTTTTCCCTTCTGTTCTTATTGAATAAGTTTTTCTACATTTATCAATGTAAGTCTTCCTAAGTTTTTCTTTATTTGTTAAATATGTCTGATGTTTAAGTTTTTACGTCCCTATTCAGAGGCCAACTCTTCTTGGTCAGTCAAATTTCTACGTCCAATCCCACCCTTGCAAATCTTCCTCTGTTTTTCTACGTGTGTCGTTAATATAAATCAATCAAAAGTCAGTTTTCATAATACTTTCGTAATCGTAATATTTTGAATGAGTATCAGTTTACCTTGTAGGAGTTGTTAAGAGTTGGTACTCCAAATACTTGATAACTTCTTCTTTCACTTTTCTGATGTTTTAGGCTAGATGTCAGTCAATATTCAAGAATGCGATGTGCTGCTTCTGGAGCAGTGATAATGCAACTGGGTTGATAGTTTTTGATTTCTTTGTTGTGAAGTGTTATTTGTTAACTCTGCATTGTTGTGTTCAACAATGCCGAGTAAACAAATATCTGTTGACATTGTTGATGACGTCATTTCTTGAAGACAACGAGGAATCACAAATTTTTATAGTAAGATTCTGTAGTCTCATGTAAAGTGTGGGTTTGCATACCAAAATGAAATTTGCCTAAAACCTTCTCATGTGGACAGCTGATAGCAGGTTTAATCATAAAGCAGTTAGTTGTCTAGAAGGTGAAACATATGAACAGATATGATTGCCACATTATGTATTTATTTTATACATTGGATGCATAAAGTTCTCTGAAATTGTCAGTTCGATGTTTTCTCTTACTTGCATTTATATTCATTCCAGGAGGAGCACTGGTGCATTTGGCAAGGGAAAGTCAAAGAATGATGAACTGAATTGTGGCTATAGACTAAGAGAAACAGACAACCGGTTGAATCGCACGAAACACAGACAGCCATCAAGTTTGAAGTCTGACTACAAGTCCCTGTCAGAAAATAATCCCAGCAGCAGGTCATCATCTGCAGGTAGTGACATTAAGAGCATCATGGCTCCTCTCAGCATGAAAGAACTGAGGCAGAAAGGACTCACAAAATATGATGCAGAACTTCTTATTGCACAAGGGTGTAAGTTCTCAGACATTGACGATGATCACGGGACAAGAAAAGCTACGGCAGAGAAGATATTCAGTGGTCAGGATAATATGTGTGTTCAGAATGGGGAGAGGCCAGGACGAGAAAGATTGTGTCGTGGTGTACGAAGTGAAATGTCTAGAAACAATTGCACAGACAACAAACCCAGGCGAACTGGCGTCGGTACGAAGTCTGGAAGACTCCCACGGAGGCTGCCAGGAAAGAGAGAAAAGCCAGTACAGTTAAATGAGGAAGAAGATGATGATGATATTTCTTTATCAAGCTTGATGAATCGTGGATCAACTGTTTTGCTGGATGACACACGAAGCAATTCTAGCAGCGTTGGTAGTGAGCAGAAGGAGGACCTGTGCAGTGAGAGTGATCACAGTAGTGCTAGTTCTGTGCTTACAGAAGGGATAATGTTGCGCAATCATAAGCGACTTAATGAGCCACTTATTGAGTCACTGGCCATGATGAAAGAAAAAGTTAACAACTTAAACACCAACAGGAATAATTGTAGTGGACAGCTGCTTGAACTGAAAGATGATGAGATCTCTCGCAGGTCTCAAGAGAAGATTGACCAGGTTGAACAAATGTCTGTGAAAGAAAGTGGAAAGTCAGCTGTGGTATTTGAAATTCTTGATGACCAATGTAAGGATCGTTGTAAGAATTTAAACTCTAAATTGGAGCTTCTGGCAGCAAAACAGGATAAGCAACTCCCAGAAAGGAACAGTAATGGACAGTTTGTTAGAAAAATTGTAAATGGGAAATTAGAAAAGTGTTGGGATCATCACTTGAGACGTGTGACTACTTCCAGACGTACATCCTCGACAGTGAGTGGATTCTTGAAGCATTCACGGGGGGTAGGGAGTAGGAATGTAAATGGGATGATGTCTAGGTTAGATGATGGGAAGGTGGGGGACACTGCCCCCACAGTGATAGGTGAAAGGACCAAAGATGTGTATGAATTTGATGATAAAGATGACTGTGACATGGAAGAGCCACGCTTACTTAGACGTTCAAGGATCGGATTTCCGTCGTCCACTAAGACTAGCCTAAATGGAAGTTGGAATGCTGCAGAGAATATCCCCAAAAATGACAGTATTGAATCTACAGATAGCTTTGGGGAAAGAGACAGGAGTATCTTCTATGCATCACAAACTACCACACCCTCTAAGGGGAATGAGAGCGGAGGCCGGTTAAAACTGACACTCCGTATGAAGCGCAGCCCTGTCCTGGATGAAGTTATTGAGTCAGGGAATAGTTTCAGTGAGGACAGCTATGAGCCAGAGTACGAAGTTCTTCGGGTGGAAGGCGTAGGCAACGAGAACCATTTACAAAACAAACACCGCAAGAAGCGCCACAAATCCAAGGACAGGGAGAAGCGCCACCGGAGAGAAACTCTGCAGGAGGAACCTGGAGGCTTCTATTCATCTATGGTACATCCGCCGATGAAGCGTTTGAGACTGATATTTGGGAATGAGACTCACACAATTGACATCCCATCCACTGCCACTTCCAAAACATTGGTTAAGTCTGCGTGAACAAATGAATAAGTAGGCAATGAAAATTTGTTTAGCCACAAAGTCTGTTGGAAATCTCCCCTCCCCCCTACTCTGCACCCAAAATCCTAACTAAAGTTGTATGTTGTGATATAATTGTTGGGTTAATTTTTGGTTATCATGGATCTCAGGTCAGAGTGTAACACCCAACAATGGAATAGAAAGAAAATTGAGAGAGCTGAATGGGTTGTTGCCAAATTGCTTATTTGCTCAGCAAATTGTATTACACATAGTGTTCCAATTTGTTTTTCCACTAGGCTATATAGAAAATGGGTTGCTGGTATGAGGCGTACCTACAAGTTGGTGGTAAACCAAGGGGGTTCAGTTGGAGGTGAATTTTATTTTCATCAATTATTTTATGCTCTGAAATATTTATTTAAAACCCTACTTTTTGAAAATGAATTATAAATTATATTCTAAATAATAATTATGATTATAAATCTGGTATTCATTTTGAAAAATGGATTACTCTTGGGGTTGGGGGTATTTGATAAGTCAGTTAAGTGCATGAGAGATGCATAGCAAATAATATGTAAATGTTAAGGTATTCGACAAGGACTTGTTTTAATCTTTGTTTTGTACATTTTGTTTTCCTGTGAAATGGTATTGTATATATGATGATGCTTTATTGTCAGAAATTTTATCTTGTCATTAGTCAGGTTGTGGTATGCCGAAGTTAAAGGATCACACTATTTGAGAGTGTTCAGGACTTTGATGTAAGATTTGTGTTTTGACATTATGATGTTTGAGCACTATGGTTTTTAATTTTCACTTCATGTCACTATACAAGAAGCACAACATATACTTAAAAAGTCTTAAAATATTTTGAGGAATTTTCTGTGTACTGTAAAATAATTTCAACCCGTAGCATTAATGCAGACATTTTTTGCACATAAAAAATTATATGTCACAGAAGCATTACGTCATGGAGACTATCAGGATAGTGTTACAAATGAAGTTTGCACTATTGAAAAATTAATTTTGAACAAACCTGGGATGCTACAAAAGTTACATTTGTATCAGTTGGAATAGTAAAAAATATTTTCAAATTTACACATGAGCTCCATTAATTTTGACAACATCCAAGTAATAAAAGAATTTGTTTCAGTCTTTTGTAAGATTCTTCACAAAGTTGATGTTTTTAGAACATCAAGCTCATTCGGTGTGGCATGTAGACATGATCTTTTACATAGCTGTATATGAAAAGAGATCTAGGGAGACACCCCATTTTCCAGGAAATGTTTGTATCCCATTAGAAGTGCCTTTTGCAGTGTCTCCTGAACTAAAATACCCGCAAAAAATAGAAAACAATTCTTTTTGTTGCTATTTTAGTTGTTACTAATAAAACTTTGTAGTACAGTTACTTGTTTAAAAATTTGTTTCTAAAAGTGTATACACAGTATGTAATAACTATCTACACAGGATCTTATGTTGGTTGTTGTTTAATCTTTTGTTACATGGTTCTCTGTTGTATTTTAAATATTTTCTTTGAGTGGAAAGCATGCTGTTCTGGATAAGAACTGTGCATATGAATTGTGCTGTAAGTGCAGGAAAGTCATGTCAATATAACAGGGTCATAATTGAAGACAAAGCTAAACTTATCTGATGTCCAGCAGCATATGTGATGGCATAGTGAGCTGTATCACAGTACTTTTGAAGTACATCAGTGAGTTGTTACAACTAGGCCATTTTTGATTTAAGATGGAATTATTTGTGTGCAAAGAAACTCCCCCCCCCCCCAAAGTATAATAAGCCACTTTCACATTTGCATCTTGAAATTGACTCACTTATATGTACAGAATTTTTTTTGTCATTGTCAAAATTTCATCCTGAGCTCCCTTCTGTCTGTGGTCTGCTCAGCTGTCTTTGTGGCCATGGATAATTTTGACATTGATGTTATTGGTAAAATGGTTTTTGCCTGTTATGAGAATTGTTTGGTCAGCAAATGATATTTCGGTCACAATATCACTTCTTAAATGATTTCCTCGCTGGCCGCAGTTGTTACTGTTCATTGGCCTTTCATATGTTTGATAGGGACATGATTGTGGGTTGGTCTGGAACCCTAATGATTGGTCATTTACACCCCTGCTCTTCTTTCTGGGGTTTTGGTGGATTATTGTGGTGATGGAAAGAGGTTTGGTAGGATTGTCTTCCCCCAATTCACAGCACATGGTCAAGAGTTTCCCCTCCCCTCATATCTCTGTTTCTTGAGATGGGTAGCTAACTGCAGTTGTTTTCATACATTTCTGTTGAAAGATTCACGCTGCTTTGAGAATGATACAACTTCCTGAATTGTCCTAGGTTGGTGATACAGAATGATGACTTCTCATCACTGATGGGAATTCAGTGTCTACAATGGCAGGATTGAAAAATGTAGCCTTCGCTCCATATTTAAGTAGGTGGTTTGAAGTACTTACATTATCTCCCTCTGTTAAATTTATCCTGATAACACAGAAATTTGCATTTTTGTTTGGCATGTGGGGCTCCAGTACTGAGAGAGAAATTCTTGTTCAAACTTATATGTTCCAATTGCATTTGACAGTGCTGATGTCCTCATTTGAACATTAATACCTTTAGAGATGTGAGTGCATGCAACAGCTGCAGCTGGTCTGAAATGCCTCGGTGCCACATGCTTTTCTCATGGCTGCAGGTGCTGAGTAGCATTCTCCCCTGCCAAATCTCAAAAAATGTGTAAGACAGTGGAAGGCTTTTTGAATATCATTACATTGAGAAATGGGGTTAGCCAGTTCATTTACATTTTCATTCATGCTTGTGTTAGTCATTTGTTTTTCCCATTTTCCACTCCTACAACTGTAGAACTTTCAGTGCTTTTAGTTGCTGATGGACATGAATTAGCTGTTTCCATATTGGCTACCATTATTGTTTTCTTTCAAGTTGTTGAACTAAGATTGTGGTCTGTTTACATCTTATGTCATCTCAGTAGGATCAGCAACTTGCACCCTTCATATTTTAGTTCTTAGTGAATTACTGTTTGATCTTATGCTTTCTCTTTTTGTGATTGTCTTTGTTTCTGTAATTTTGATTGTAAACTGGCTGTTGAAGTGAGAGGTCGGCTTTATGCTCTGGTTGCTTGACCCACAGGTTAAGTTCTGGTCTGGTGCTAGAAGTCTTGGATGAGGTAATGAAAGAAGAATCCTAAGAACCTAGTAGGAATTGAATCATGGTTTACCAGTTTACTGATCCATTTAACTGACTTAGATGTCACAGTTCATTGTGTTAGCAGTAATGTTGAACCAATTGACTTCTTTTCAGGAAACTCCAGTATGACAGTCATCCCTTCAGAATTTACGTGGTTTCATATCTTTTAAACCCCTTGCACGTTTGTGTCCATGTCCTTCCCAACTCTTCATTTAGTCATCTTCATATATTTATTTTGATGCTCTTTAAGTCCAGTTGCTGATACAGCATCATAATGTCCAAAGGACTAATCTAATGGATTCTAAACATTTGAAGAAACAAACATTTTTTCTTTCTTTTGAAAGTGTCAGAAAAACATTGTTTATCCAGCCAGAAGTAATTTTGTTTCTATTTGCTTTAGAACTTAAGTGCTAACAGGATATTATTCTTTTTTAAAATGAGAAGTCTAGTTGCCACTAAAATGGTTTCATAATATGGGACCATTGTAAAATGTGATCTTGTAGCATTTGGTAAAAGAAATGTACAGAAAGGTCATTGGAAGTATAGAGATTCTCAAGCCATGGGCTTCATGCAACCTGCCAGTATTATTTGTGTGAACTGCATGTTTCGTGATAATGTGTCATTCTGTATGTAGAAAATTACCTGCCTGATATCAGGAAACATATCTCCTGAAGTAATTTATTATTTGGCAGTAACAGTTGCTGTGAGTAACTGTTCAACTTAAAATCAAGAACTAGTATGTATCTTACTGGTGTACATGTGAAGGGAAGCATACAACAACAGAAATTAAACCTGATGCTGAAAGTTTACTCAAGCAAATATCTCACTAATTACTGACTTTGTTAAAGAAAATGGGTAATTTGTGAACATGTTTGCATTAGTAGACCTAATTCAGTAACATTTCTAACCAACTACCATGGCATTTCCATAATTGTCCTTGTTTATATATAATCTTGCAGCATGTGAGTCAAAAAACAGTGAATGTGGCCCCAGGTCTGGAAAAAGTTGAGTAACTCTCTACCTTGATAATTCAAGAGTAAAGTGCAGTATGGATTATTATGTGTATCAAAGAATATACATTTGAGTTGTTGAGAATCTATTTGTAATGCTATGTCTCACCCGGTGATTCTTGTCCATAATGTACAGTCATCATTTAAGTTAACTAATGATGCTGTGATACAGATTTTTGTGCCTGGTGGCCTTTTAAATGGGTACCCAAGATTTGGTTTGTGTGAATACATGATTGCTGTAATCTTTAGTACCCTGTTACGTTGTGACTTTAAACAATATAAAAATTAAAAACTTGGTGTTACTACATCCGAGCTTTAGGACTTTTTGTTTGTGATTTTTATATTTGATGTACCAAGAAACAATTTGCCAGTTGTGTTCAAGAAAAAAAAAGTATGTGATCATTCATGGAGTTGTGGTATATTTAAAATGTTTCTGTGATTTGTAAGTTTTTTGGGGGTTTATATATTTCGTCCATATTCAACATGTTTTATTAACAGTCTTAACCCTTTCAGTGTCATCATGAGTATGCCTCTTCTGGGAAGAATATTTTATTCATATACCATCTGTCATTTTCCATTAAACACAAAAAATGTTTACATTGAAGTCTGATCTGTAAGTTGCTTGTAGACAGCTCTTCTGATCATGACATTGAAAGGATTATGACCACTGTTAATGTACTGTTTAGATTTGAGCAACACTTGTCATTTGTTTACCTTTATCGACTGATATATATAGACTTCCATTATTCTCTCCTGCTGTAATTATTTATAAATGCCGTTAGTGGGAGCTTCATAGTTACTGTGGAAGGAGCAAATTTGCAGTGGTCATGTCAGTGTGGGAAAGAGCCAGAAGAAAACTGGAGTTGAAATAGTAATAGAGAAATTAAAGTTCCATTCACGTGTTTGTCCTTGGGAGAGGGGGGCAGTGAGGATGGGATCAGACCATCAGAAGTCTTCAATACAGACACTGGTTATTGTAGTCTATTGACGTAAAATCATAAATAAATATGTTTGTAGTTGTGTAAGCCAAAAAGGTTGGTTGGGGGAACAAATGCAGACCTCTGCATGGTCATGTTATTCACATGGGCAAGAGTGGTATAAGTTACAGTACATTTCCAACAAAATATAATAATTTCCTTGTCATGGTATTAAAATTTTGAAGAATAAAAGTGTTATGGAACAGGAGTTAATTTTGGAGTCTGACTTATGAAGCAATCTGATCTGGTAGTGGGAGTAAACTTGATAACATTGTAGGAGTGGGTGATTATGCAGATGCAGGTGGAAGTCAATAATTTTTTTCAAGACCACAACTTCCTTGGAATTCTCTAGGTCTTTATCCTTTCATGAGAGGTGTCAGTGGATTAAGGATATAAAAGGCATCCCATGTAAACAAAGATTCTATTCCAGTTAGTTTTTCTCCACTGTGTGATGGTGATTGCAGAGACTAATAAATTCTACAATAAAGATAGCTGATGAAATGCTTACAACCTCATGATGACTGAACAGAGGTCATTATAAGAGTAGCATCATGAAACACAACTAATTTCATCATATACTGAGTGAGATCCCTACATTTTTGTGTCAATGTCAAACCATACAAGGCCAAAACAACCATAACATAAGCTGAATGATAACTGTCCTAAATTTATAACCCATCTGAACATTTAGCTATGTATGGAAGGCGTGGGCAAATTACAGCTGTACATGAAATAGTAAACAGTTTTACTACAACAGGAGAAGGGATATACCACAAATTTACTTGACAGTTTCTTCTCTGCATATTTATTTGGTAACCTGCATATAAGAACTTTAGATTGTTGTGTAGCTGTCTGATTAAATCATAAAGGAATGCCAGAGGGCTTCAGAAGTAAGATACTGAAATTGAAATTGGATGGTATACTTGTTAGGGGGAGTGGTACCTTGACTACTGATTTAGAAAGACAAGCAAGATGTTTACATGTTGGTGAAATATGAATAAACTATCAGCAGAAAGCTGCCTCTGTGATGAACATGGGAAAGCCCAAAACTCTGCCATTGTTGGAGACCACAGTTATGAATTGCTTTAACGGTAGTGACAGTGGCAGAATGACTTACTAGCTATTCAGTTGGAAAACATGAAAGTGGATAAAAACTATTTTTTCATATGTTGGATCTGACTATTGAATAGCTACATCATAATAGCATGCTGTGATAAAAAGAATACACTACTGAAAATTTTGTCTGATTGCAGTGTCATGTGTGCTCAGCCAAGAAGAAACAAACATCTACCAAACCTCAGTGCTCAAAAGTGCAAAGTTGGCCTGTGTGTAGACCCATGTCTTCATATTTATCATAGAAAGGTAAACTTCTAAATCAGAGGTTTGTCACAACATGTGAAGGATGACATTTCCAGAAATGTGAGTTACCTTCATTTGGGTTTATATACATATTTTGGTTTATATCTGACATCACTTTTATACTAATAAAAGTAACTATAATTTGCCATTGTATTTTTGATTTACTAGAATATTTTAGCAGAAATTATTCCAAAGGTGAATGCATACTGTTAGTAATTAAATCTCCCAATTCAGCCACTAGCACTAGTACCATATTCCCATATGATAAAGGTTAATGAAACAGCTGATAATTTAATATTTTGAACTGTTTTAATCAATTATGAGTTTATAAATTTAATTTACTTCTGAACAGTTACAAAAATGAACCAGTATATGGCTCAATGTTCTGAGTTGTACAATATGATAAAATGAATATCTGTTCTAAAGATGTGACAGAATTACATGCATTGTAAATGTAAAATATATTTTCTGTAAAGTTCCTACACTATAATTTGGTATATTTCTTTCTTGTAAAGTTTTGTTATTATTAATTCTGTTAACTGGTACATTTGCTTGTAAATGCATGATAAAAGCTGAGTATAGTCAAGCTTGTCATCCATTTCCAACAACATTGCATGATGTTTCTACATGTTCATTCAATAAATTGCCAAATTATCCAATACATGGCTGTATAATTCAGTAAAGTTTTCAGTTAAAATGAGATCTAAGCCATTGGTCTTTATTTAAAAAGAAATTAAGCTTCATCTCAATCCAGAATAAAAACTCATACATACCACATGATCTGAGGTCATAATATTATGGTAAGATAAGTAACTTCATTGTTTTTTAGACTGTATTAGCTTTAAGGGAATATTTATATTTTATGCTATAACACTGTAAATTAATACATGGCATGAGGGTTATATTCTCACTGAAATTCAGAGGTCCATGAATGCATCAAGTTCACTCCAGTTCTGTTTATAAACTACTTTGGAAGCAATAAAGTTTATCTCCATTCCTTTGTTCTTAATCCCTTCATAAAATTGTCATAGACCCAGGCCACAAATGAATGCAGCATTCCAATATTCTTCATAACCTCAAGCATTTTATTCGCCGCTTTAGACGTTCAGATTTTCTACTGTTGGCCACTAGTTTGAACTCTCTAGGGTCTTACAAATTCCCTCTTGTCTCATGATAATATGCTGATATGTTGCTTGGAAATAAATGTTGTTCAGCTCTGCTCTACTCTGAGATAAGAATATGCATTCCTTACAAAAGTTGACATGCATGCATTTATCTTTGTAATTCGCCCTTAAGTTATGCTCCCTTGTGTTATTCCTACCTGACTATACCCTACTTCTATCTCTACCCTTGTCTCATGATTAAAGGAATGTGCAAATCCTGGTTGCATACCATTTCAGGCAGCCAAAATCTGAACTATGACATTACAGAAAGAAATATTATAAGGGCCTGTCAGAAGGTTCTGAGACTGATAAATGTAACACAAGTTCAAGTGGAATTTATCCCTTGTGAGCAGAGTCCTTGCCACTGAATAGTAATTCCAGCATTATTATTATTATTTCAGAATGACTCAGTTCTCACTTTTGTCTCTTTCCAGTGAAGTTCTCATTATCACATTTCCTTAGTTAATGTTCAGCATTCGCTTTAGGTAAGAGAAAGAAATCATAGGGACCATAGTAGGGAGGGTGTATCAACAAAATGTTGTGTTTCACCAGTTATTCAACTACCAAACAGTACAGAATGGCAACTACTGCTATGATGGAACCAGATTCCATTTCTCCACGTTTCTCAGAATTGCCATCATGCAGAACATGCTAGAAGCCCTCAGTAGAATGAATTGCAGATTAATCTTCAGGAAAGAACTCTTGGTGAACTAAGCCTTCATGTAGCATTTGAGGTTTTCACAGTGGTGAGTCTGAAGATTGGTGAAATCTTACCAGACTACATGATGCAATAACCCAGAAGACATCAATCTTTAGGCCTTCATGATCAGAGACTGGCAGCACCAAGACCTTGACATTGATCACATCTGTGTTTTTTTATTTATTTAATGAAGTATTTTGTTTCTGGATCACAGGTGTAAATCCAAGATTCATCACCAGTTACAGTATTAGAAAGGAAATTTTCACCTTCTGTGGCACATAATTGGAGACCAAGATACAATCATGTGATGCTGCTTTGTTAACAAATGTTGCCTACAATTTATGCATACATAAATAATTGTTGAGAATGGATTGGCATGAAGCAAATCTTGTGTTTACTGATACTTACATCATTCTTAAATGTAGCTGTTTGTAAACCACTGAAATTCTATATGACTTAGTGTTCCATCAACATTTGCTGTGTACAATGCTGATTTCTCTGTTGGACACAACACATTCTTTAACATTAGCCATTTCATTCTGTGATATAGAATGTAAACCTGCCCTTGTACTTGTGTGTTTAATAGATAACAGTGCAGGTATTATATTAGGACTGCATGTATGAGATTGCCACTACACAACAGTGTTGATATCTTATCCATACCATTCATGTCTTTACAGTTCTTGAATAAACAGGTCAGAACCTTTTTACAGGTCCTTGTACAAAAATAAAGTAAAAAAGATTGAAAAACCATGTAATACTGCAGTGTTGCATTACAAGTGGCTGTCACAGAAATTGGGCCATGACCACATGTTTATATAACAAGCCTCACCAGTTGAATGAACCTCTAAGACTAGTACTGAGTGCCAAAATGTCTGACGCTGATGTAATGGTTGATCACTGCTGCTCAAGCAGTCATCAGAGTGTGAAGCTCTTGTTTTGGATTTCTCATCTGGGATAGTGGGCCCACGTATCTGTTGTAGTTAGAATTCTGAGCCTGGATATTCATCTCCATTTACATTTTTACTATCAGGTGAAACTAATATTTTACTTAGATGGTTTAAGTTTCCAGAAGAAATGTGGCAGTGGGTAGCCTTTTCTTATGCTCCCAGTAGGCAGGCCCTTAACTGTATGACAGACTTAAGTTTCCACCAGCAGGTGAGGTGTACCCTAAAACAGACCATGACCATTTTCTTCCACATTCTTACCATTTCATATGCTGTGCAACCAGAAAATTTAAGATGTCACTAAATGATTCAAAAATATTTCCCTTGTATCAGAAAATGCATTTTTGTTGTTGTCAGTAGGATGTTTGGCAGTAACTATCACTGTGAGCAACTTTTAAGCTTAATGAGGACTGTCAAATCAGAAACTTATTGACAAACACTTGGAGAGAAGCATGCATGTTGCAGCAACATGAATTAATCCTTTAAAGTCAAATTAATTATATGTACCAGCTGCTTTAAATTACTAGGAACACTGCATTTTGTATTTATGTGATTCTCATGTAAAACACTGATTATTTCTTCAAACAGCATTAATCAATTGATCTTTACAATGTAAAGTACTAGAATTTGTTTATAAATTGCAATGAAGTTACAATAGATTTTTGTAATTTATAACCTAGCAGCTCATGAGTCGATAAGCAAATGTGAATTTGGCCTATGATCTAGAAAAGGTTGAGAACCCCTCGGATAAGTTTTCATTTTTGAATCAGTGCCCCTCCTGGTAGCAGTTTAATTTACCATGCCTAGATCTTGAATGTCACCATTTACATTGCCGACCCCATGGGTGTAATGCAAGGGTTGTGACATGGAGAGGGGTGCCGTAGTGGAGTTTGAACAAACAATGTCGAAAGTATGAAAATTTTGAGTTTGTCACAAATTGAACACAACTGGAATTTTATATTAGTGGAAATTATGGACAGAAATGTATAATTATATATTTGTTTACAGTTCCTAGCCTCATCATGTAGACTGAATCATTTGACAGAAATTAGATGTGATAAGTTGTCATAACTTTTTATTACTAAGAAGATAATGACTGTGAATTTATAGAAAGACATTGCCGTTAATTGTTTTGTCATTTGGACTAAATTGTGATTTCCCCCCACCTTAACTTTATTCCATATAGTGTAAATATTAGGTAATAAGTTTAACTTTCTCCTACATATTTAAAGTAACTCTTTGTTAAAAATTATTTTGTAGGACCCTTACAGTTACTTTATGATTATTCGTCACAATGTGCAAGGATAATACCTTATGCCTGTAATATTTCTTTCCTGAGAATATTTTATGTGCTCAAAGTTAACAATGTTTTAAATTCATTCTTAGTGAAGTAAAACATGTTTGTTAGTTATACTCATTACTGTGGTTTTTAGAAGGCATAAACTTTCTGTCCGTAAGTTTAAAGGAATTAAAACATTTGATTGGAACATTAGGTAGTACTTCTGTTTTCATCATAAATTAGACATTTTTCAGTGTTTTGGAGGCCTCTATGGCTGTTGTCCAAATCTTTGCTTACATTTATACATTTTGGCTGGTAATCACAGATGTTGGCATCTGAACAATTATCAAATGTGTAATACAAAATAGTTTCTCAAGCTTTATTTCATTTCAGTATGTGAAGTCTCCATTTGCTGTAGTTACACATAAATTATTAATTTGCAGTCAGATATATCGCTGAAATCACTATCATAAGAGCAAAATTTCTGGTTTACTGTATCAAAAAATGTTCCTACGCTCAGAATGCCTGTATCAGAGTGTAAACACATTTCAGTTTCACTTATTTCTGTTGGTTTGGCTTCTCAGCTATGAAACTACTAAAAGCAAATGTGGGTCAGTGTTGATGGTTAGGCACTTAAATGACAAGATGGGGATGACTGTCGCTAAGTGTGTTTTTGCTGACTGGTGAGATGTAGGGTCAAGTTTCTCATTAAATTTTGACATTTATTTTTATTAAAGGACTCTGTGAATGTTCATTCATTTTGTTGAGTAAAATGAGACTGTATATTGTATAGAACTTGTATATTTCTTCTATGATACATAACACTAGTAAAAGCACCCATTATTGCCTGAATTTTTTGTAAAATAAACTACTAAAATAATGAAATTGTTTATTTATTATAATAATACGTACAAGATTGCTTTGAAACTTCTTGTCTGCTGCTGCTGTATATGAATGTTAAAAATGGCTTTTGGCCGTCAGAATGTTTTACAGGCCTGCCACAATTCTATTTTGTGAAGGCATTTATGTCATCTGAATGAAGTGTATATGTATTTCAGATGCCATCTTCTGGGTAGTGACATGGTGCTTTTTTAAAGGACCTCCATCAGGGTGAAATGGATTATATGTTGATTCCTTTGAGTTTGTGCCCTCAATACTACTAATAAGCAGCGCTGGTAAATTTGATAGATTCAGTATGCCACAAGCTGACCAGTCATAAGTTAAACTCTAGATTTCTATGTTTAACTTTTTTCTGTTTTAGGTTGTCGTTTCAAGATTTTCCAGAATGTGTTTTTATATTTGTGGCTGTCATGTTACTTTTTTACATAAGATTTGAGGTTTTCGCAGCAGTGAGTATGAAGATTTCTGTCTTCTGGGTTGTTGCGCTGTGTACTGCCTCTGTCATCGGGACGATGAATCGCCCTGATGACGGAGGCAGTATGACCTCTGAAACGTTGGTAAACATCGACCAGACTACACAGCGCAACAACCCAGAAGACAGAAATCTTCTTACTTTTTTACCTTGAATTTATAACAGTTCTTGATGCATACTAAATATGGCCTTTTACATAATATATAAAGAACTGTATTTTATTTTTGGGCAACTAGTTATTTTTATTCATTGCATTGTTAATGGCAATGATTATCAAGCTTCATGCATGTGTGTGGAAAGCCTGATTCCTGGAAATGCATTATGAAGATCTAGTTTTGTTAATACAGAATATAATACACATATTTACTATTATTTTGTATATGTTCTTTCACTGTGTTGCTCCGTGATTCCTATGTTATATCCTAAAATATATTAGTTATAAAAATGTTAAACGAAACACAGGTTTATGTGCTCACTGGGCCGAGGTGAGGCGTTCTCCCTGAGTCAGCGATGGCTCTGTACATCAGTGGTCCCCAACGTGGTGCCCGCGGGCACCATGGCGCCCGCGTAGGCTTTTTTGGGTGCCCATGTTGTTACGAAAAGAGGTTATACTGAATGATGAAGGCCATTCAACCACGAACATTATAAGATCAAAGCACAGATCTCGACTTACTGATGCCCATCTTGACGATTGCGAGCAGCAACATCATCCTACACTCCCAAATTTGTAAAACTGGCCTATGGAATGCAGAGCCAAACATCACACTAACTTCCCACTTCAGTAATAATAATTGTACTTATAAAAGTACGTATTTTTTATTGCATGGTTTCTTGTATCATTAAACGTCGTGTTGTTTTGTGTATTATTTGGTGTCCATATCTTATTTGTCCAGAGAAAAGAAAATTTGGCTTTGTTAATTGGTTGGTGCCTGCCACGATCTCATAAACTCTCAAATGTGCCCGTAGGCACAAAAAGGTTGGGGACCACAGAAGTCATCTATTGCCACAGGATTTTCAGTAGAGTTTGAGAAATGCAAATATGTATTCAATAGCCAGTGGCTGATTATCCCATAGGCAGTGGAACATTCATTTGCTGATGATCTGTACCTTTGAAGGAGATGTATTGTGTGTAGCATAGAAAGAATGGAGATGATCAAATCAAGGTCATTTGAGATGGGCTGGACATGTAGCATACATGGGAGAGATGAGAAATGTATAAGAAGAGACTACTTATGCATAGATGAGCAGATGATATTACAATGGATTTAAAAATTAAACCTTTGGGAATTGGGACTTCAAACCCTAGTACTACCAGATTGCTAGCTGAACTTTAACTCAGGTTTCATTACAGTGCTCAAGGCCAGTTGGATTATGCTTAAACTGTGATACATGGATGTGTGTACTGGATTCACTTGGCTTAGAATAGGAACCAGCGGCAGGCTCATGAAAACAGGAATGATTCTTTAAGTTATGTTAAACACACATCATTTCTTGGCTAGCTGAGTGATTATACTTTCCTTGTGGAAGAAATAACAGGGGATTTTTGATCAGTTGAATAACTATAGTGTGCATAAAAGTTAGTTTACTAACAACCCTACATAAAATTACAATTTTTTAGACATTGTCCAACGTAGATATTTTTATTCAAATCCGACTTTATTAAAACTGGCAGTTTCCATCATCTGGTACCAAGGAAGTGTTTCAATACCAAGCGAATTATCATTATTTAGATTAGATACGTACTTATATGTACGTGAACATTTATGTTCATATTTTTGTTACGGTCAATCAATTTAGTAAAAACAAGGAGTTGCATCATTTTATGCAAGGTAGAAAAGAGGAAATGCAGAACAATGTCTAATTTGTTGTACCCGCCTCATCATTCATCAACGAGTTTGTTGGTCTGTCCCGTCTTACTTCTTAAATGTCCTGCTTAATTTTATTTCTGTATATACATTTTTTTTGTTATTTTTTTACGTAAATACGTCTATACGGAAGGGTCATTCGGCAAAACAGCGTTAGGAAAATGTGTAAGATCCATGCCAACAATGTGTAAATATGGACCGACAACAATGATCAGCTTTTATATGAACTCCGTGCATTGTTATGTTACCTAAGAAACTAATTGTTTCGTCATTGTTGTGTTTCATTACTGCCGTCAACAATCCGCTTTCGTTATTGCGGACAGAGCTGAGCTGTGAATCGCTTGTAGAAAAAGTGCGTCGTAGAGTAGATAATATTGTGCTGTTAAAAACGTTTTAGAATATCACAATTACTTATCTTATATAAGAATTATTAAGAAATTTGTGATACTGCCATCCACTCGTGGTCTTTTACAATTGAACAGGGTTTGAGGTAAGGAATTCCTATTTATTATTATTGTTCATCACATTTAATGTTTTCATCTGCATTTGTGAACTCGTGTAAGAGAATTAGGCATGTCTTCTTTTGACATCTATACGGAAGGGTCATTCGGCAAAAACAGCGTTAGTTGGGTAATGTAACCTATATGTAAAATGATCAGTAAATAAGGACCTTTAAGAATCTGTAATGTATTTTATTGTAACTATTATTGTTTATACATTTATTGTAATTTTAATGAACCAATGTGTACAATTTTCAATGCATCTGGCGCGTTAAGCACCCGCCTATCGAAAACCGTAAGAGATGGATCTGGACATATTGTGTACGAAATACGTATTACCTGTAAGATTTGAGGTTTTCACAGCGGTGAGTATGAAGATTTCTGTCTTCTGGGTTGTTGCGCTGTGTAGTCTGGTCGATGTTAACCAGCGTTTCAGAGGGCATACTGCCTCCGTCATCAGGGCGAATGAAATGCAGAACAATGTCTAATTTGTTGTACCCGCCTCATCTTTGATCAACGAGTTTGTTGGTCCGTCCCGTCTTACTCTTTAAATATCGTCCTGCTTAATTTTATTTATTTATTTTGACGTAAATACGTTTATACGGAAGGGTCATTCGGCAAAAAAGTGAAAGGAAAACGTGTAAGATCCATATCAACAATGTAAATATGGACCGACAACAATGATCAGCTTGCGTGCATTGTTATGTTACTTAAGAAACGTCATCTGTTTACTCGGCATTGTTGTGTTACATTACTGCCGTCAATAATCCGTTTTCGTTATTGTGGAAAGAGCTGAGCTGTGAATCGGTTGTAGAAGAAATTCGTCGTAGACTAGATAATTTTGTGCTGGTAAAAGCGTTTTAGAATATCACAAGTACTTATCTTATATAAGCATTATTACATTTCATTTCATTACATTACATTGCATTACATTATATTACATTACAGAGACGTATTTACGTCAGATTCTCTGGAACCGTGGTTCCACTGTTAACTTTTTATTTATTTATTTATTTATATAATTTACAAACAATTTTTAACTGTCCTGTGTTGATACATTGTTTACTAATTCGATTAAATAATATTACCATGGTGATATCTTTGGAAAATCTGTGAATACTACCAAAGATAACAACATACTTAGATTTCTACTACCACTGGCGGTAAAGGCACGTATTGCACTGCAAAAAGACGTCATTTTGTTTCTAGACTGGTTGACCAATAGCGGTTGTTGGGAGTTGCTCAAGGGCATAGAGTTAATATCTAGACTTCAAAAAGGAAAGGGAACTATAAACAGTTGCGGTTGATTCTTCATTAGTATCCTGCACGCATAGTTGTTCGGATTTAAGGTAAGGTTTGGTAAGAACAGGGGCTTTAACATTGCGTTGTGTAGTATGCCAGTTCCGAAGCTTCGGGAACAATGGAATTGGTGAATGTTACTAAGCGAAAAACGTTCCAAAATTAGCTTAATTTATAATAACTTGTGTGGTTAATTTTGTCGAACTTCAGTTTATGTTTGAATGAACTACAAGGTATGCCACTGAAACATCTGCTTTGTTCTAGATGCCTAACATTAAGTTACAGAGCTCGGATGGAGAGGTTTTTGAAGTTGATGTGGAAATTGCAAAATGTTCTGTGACTATCAAAACTATGCTGGAAGATCTCGGTAAGTGTTTAAACATTAACTGTCATTTTGCATGAATTTTGGAAAAAATTGAATAATCGTGTTTGGTATTTGAAGGCAATGTAAAATTCTCAACTCATTAAAAAAAACCCAATAATTTCATGAATTTCACTTGTTTGTGCCATATCTGCAAGGTTATGCTGCATCCCTTGGTTTTTATTTTTTTGTAGAAATTAGTTTCCATTATATTTTAAAGTAGTTTAAACAGTTTAGAACATTTGTATTGCAATAGTCCTTCAGGTATCTCAACCAGCACTGTTGCCTGCAAATGTAGGTATTGTGAGGCTCATACTAAAATCATTTCTAAAAATCTGAAAGTAGCCCTGATATTAATGCAATAAGTTGTGTGTGTGGAACATTAAGTTAATATATACATGACCATGTCAGGCCTGTCATGTTGCATCGTTCTGGTGTCTATATCTTGCATACTGAGGAATTAAAACTAACATCATGATGATAAAAAAGATAAACCAGCTTCCTTTGGTGTGATGTATTAAATGTCCTTGACCTTTATCATATGGGAATGGGGGGATTGAGTCCCACATACTATGAGGCTACTGGTTGGTTTTAACTTCTGGGTTAACATTTTAGTGGTATTTTGCTGTGATATACAGCAAGCTTGTCTGTGTACAAGCTGCAACACATGGTCGTTAAAGGTCACATGACATTCTTATATTTCTGTGGAGCTTTTTATTGAGCTGTGTGAAACACTGCTGTCCCATAATGCCATGTACTGAGGCAAGATGCACATATTACAGTTCTATTCAATGAAGCTAACATACTTATGCTTACTAAGGAGTTGAACTTTGGCTTGCTGATTGTAGTCTGACTTGTACTAGTGGTGGAAGGTGGAGCCATTGGCTGCACAGTCTCAGTATGATGTAATGAATGGGTTAGCACAAAGTATTTTTTGATCTGGGATATATCAGACTGACCAAACTTCCTTTTATATTATTGGACAGTTTTCCTCTTCACATTCACATTTCTTGAGCAAGGACTGTACAATACAGCAGGATAAAATTCAGCAGTTACCTCAAAAATTTGTTGTTTGTGTAAGGTTATATTAGTTGCAGTTAGCTTTATGTAGTTGTGTGCTGTTGGATTCCCTAGGGCAGGGCTGCAGAAATATAATTTAAATCTGCCACCCACTTCCAAAAACCCACGTGTTCATAGTCTGTGTTTGCTTTATACAACTATTTTTTTACTTGCTACAAGTCTCTAGCTTGTTCGTATTTGTGCAGGAAACATGTTGTGGGGATTAGTAATTATAATTTTACTG